AGTTACTGGAATGAAAAATTTTTTTTATCTTCAAATCTTACGGTTTAGGAGTTTTCCAGAGATCAACGTCCAAAAAGGACCCTGAGCGGCGTCCCAAGAGTTTTTAATATACTTCAAGCTGGAGAGTTCGGGTTTGTTTTATTTTAAACTAGACACCTAACTACATCGACTGACCGACGCTGATTTTTCAATTAAGCCTTTATTGGTTTTCCAGGCAACCAACAACCTGTGAAACCCGAAAAAGCCTTCTGAATTTTCCTCAGTTTGGCTAAAAACTAAGACCTAATTCAAAATCGACGCTGGTTAGTTGATGTATTTTTCTTTCCTCTTTTAAACAAAAACAGAATGAACTCTCTACGACAACCGCTGTTAAAAATTATTATTAAAAAATATTCACGTCTTTCTCTGGTCAATTTTTCTGATTATTTTCATTACAGAAAGAACATCATATTTTTATGTCGTACTGTTTCAAAACAAAACAAAAACGTTTTGCGCTATTTAGTGTCCTATCAGTTTGAGTGATACAAATTTTGGCGCTTTTCTTAAAAGAAATTTTCTGATTGAATTGAAACTTTTCATTGAAAACCTCAAGTGGCAGAGATGTTTTTTTTCAATGCGATGCTCAATGGCGTATTGCATAATTTGTGGTTGTTTATTTGAAACAAACACATGTCTTTGTTCATTTAAATAAAACAGTTCAAATGTTTTCGTCCAGAAAACGATCAGCACATTTGTCTAATCTGGCAACCAGTTTGCCAATATTTGTTATTGTATATGTTGTTCGTGTCACAAGTGGCACTCGTTTTTTAATCAAAATACTGTCTTCTTCAGTACTATCGTCACCTCTCTCACTCACGTCGTACGTACTAAGTGGACGTTTTCGTTGATTTGGTGTTATGATTGATACTTGTGATGATGTTCGCTCATCATCATCGTCTTCAAGAACATTGTTTGTTGAAAAATGGACCGGTCCTTTCACTGAAATTTTTTTCTTTGTCGCTAACTTTGAAGCTGAAGCGAGTTGGAGTGGAGGTTTTCTTTGATTAGAAGGAGCCGTGGTTGTTGTTTGTTGTGGATGAGCACAAAACCGTTTTGAAGCAGGAACATCATAAACAGACTCGAATTCTTCATTGCTTAAACTAAATGTAGTGTGTAGTGTGTAGTGTGTGTGATGCTTAGCAGGATAACAAATAAATCTGGATGGTTGAACAGCTGAGCTTGAGGGTACTAAGCTGTCGGTGACATTTGATGGCACGACTGCTTGTAACGAACTTGAATTGTCGGCGATATTTGATACAAAAGATGTAAATAACGTCCATAATGAGTTCACATTTTGTAACTGACGTGGTAATTTGTGCAGAAGATCAGTAGGTAGCGACGGTAATGATGAAGCAGCGGATGCCGACTGTACAGCCGGTAGTGAAGCAACCGATTGTAGAGGATCAACGAGTACTGGTGGAGTAAGTTTGTTTTCTTCAACGGGTGGTGCACGATAACTGTCTTGATCACAAAATCAATCATAGAATTTTCTGATGAATCAATTAAATTTGAATCAGACACAAGTGGATTGTCAGCTGGCGAACTTTGTTGAGGTAATGTATCGTTTGTGTTAACAGTTGCAGTGAAATGATCGATGATGAAGTAGATTGAGCCATTGGGGAATTTTGTTGACTATGGTTGAACGGTTCAAATGAGATCGATGATTGTGTTTGTTGTTGCTAAAAGTAGAAGGAATGTGGAAAAATGTATCTTCTGATTCGACATCCGGCTATGTTCATGTAACGCGAAACTTCGCTGATCAAGTATTTTTTGAATTTTTTTCAGCGGAAAATCGATTGGGGCACATCACTAGACGGGTTTTGGTTGGAGTTACTGAAGAAGTTATTTGAAGTGACAAAGTCTCCACAGCAAATCTCCCCAAGTGCTGAAACAGTTGAAGCTGTGAACGGTGTTTGACTGGTAAAAACTACACTTCTAAGACTTCTAACAGAGAGAAGAGAGAGAGAGACCGTTCCTCGACCTAACACTGTTCTAGAACTTAGAGAGATTTGCTGTCAGTGACTCGTCCAGTTTTTTTCTGGATGGTGGTGGATACTGTCAGGAGAGTTGCGCGACGTTATTTACGCTGTAAGACCTTTTTTACCGTTTTACTTGAGGGAGAAAACTGTTTTCTAGAGGCTAGGTCTTTCCAAAAATGTTCTCAGAGTGTTGGCGAGGTCTGAAAATATCGTAATCGGACTCAGTGTACTCGAAAACCTATGAAACTTTAAAAAAAGTAATATTTGTCACCTCAAAACCTTCAAAACCCTCAAGATTCTCTAGAAAACCAATTTTCTGAGCACTATATCGGCTGAAAAAGTGTTCCAGAGGAAAGAGGATTTGCGAAAACCTATAAATCTGGTGTTTTGAGTGAAATAGATCGGTCTAAAACCAAATGTCCACGTGCCTACTGAAAATTCCCCACTGTGAGCCTATTTAGCAAATATTCGAGCAAATCTCTTTTTTATTTAAGTCTTTATATTTGTGTCACTACTTCTGTTCAATAAACACAGCAATCTATTACACGTAGTATAAATGCCTGCGTAATGCACGAGAGATAAAAAAAGAATTTCTCTCTACCACGTTAGACAAGAGGAAAGAGAACAGAAAGACAAACATTTGACACATTTGTCTACGAATATCTTACATATGCGAGAAAGATATCTGCTTATTTGCTAGATTCCTATCATTAAACAGTCAAAAATAGTATCATGGACTTCTGCCACTTTCTTTGTTTCTTCTTTTTCACAATATAATATATATTAACGTGCGCCAAATGAAATAATCGCTATTCTCTACTTCAAAGAAGTCGGCTTTTCGTTCTTTGCTTTTTCAAGAAGAAAATGGTCCTCATTTTTTGATTTTTATTAACCAAAAAGCGTCGTTTTGTGAAACTAGAGTTGAATGTGAGTGTAGGTGTTATTACTTATATTTTTACCTTCGTAGCTAAAAATGTTTGGACTTGAATCTTAATTGTCTGAGAGTTTCTTGAGTAGGGCATCGTGGTAGATTCACCCTTTAAATGTTGAGAAATTTTCGTTTTCCCCTGCAAATTCCCAACGTTTAATTCGTTTTTTTCTCACCAGTTTACTTCAATTCACCTCCCCTCTCAAACCTGGTCATATTTAGCAAAATCCTCCCATCTATTTGATAAGTAATCGCCACTCCCACCCGCTCTCCCCATCCTGACGATTTTGGGACACCCTTGAACTTGTCACAAATTCAGTATAATTTTGATATTAAAATTTGATTACATGACAAATACGCTGCAAAGCTATCACCGTTTAGCGGGATGAAATTTTAATGATACAGTGGTCACTGAGTTGAGAGTGTAGATTTGTGGGCGAGAAGAAAGCGAACGCATATTCATCAACACACATACAGCTACTAAACTAGCATAGGCTAGTCTGAACAGTTCACGTTTCTTTTAACTTAGGATTCTTTGTTTTTGTTTTATCATGATGACAACTCATACAGTGAATGGCTTGCTTGGTAAGTCTGCTCTTTAAAAGAGAGAGGACCAGCTCCCGTCATACGTTGTACACAAGCGCAGTTTAAAGTTATTGTAACAGGAGGATCTGGAGTGCGGGGTATGGGTGTGTGTGAGTGTTTCAGTATGGTTAAAGAGTATATTCACAACAGCACACACCCACGCCTAACCACACCCTCAAGATAGGTCGATTGTTGCTTATGCTATTATATATTATTATTATTAAATTAAAGCGTTTTTCTCTTCTACTAAAAAGAGATTGTTAGCGCAGCCCCTTTGAGACTGAAATTCGGACCTCATATATATCATTTAGTTCAATAAACTAATGCAAAATAGCTGCAATGAAATATCTCTCATAAAGATTCGTCTTGTTTCTAACGTCTGTAATAATGGAATACACTCGTTGCTAATGTCTGTAATGAGTAGACCTTGACTTTATTCTATTACCTGCGATGAAAAGACGCAAGAAATAGCATGCTAATTGATGTAGTCTCTAACTAACGGAGGGGTTACTCATTAATGTCTGTAACGGGATGGGAGGGGCGCGGTGGTTGGGATTCCACAAAGCTTTGTCTTAAAATTGACAGTCACCATTTTCTTCGAAAATAATGTGAGTTCCACAATATATATCTCAGTTTTGTGTAGCTCACATATATTTTCGAAGAAAATGGCGAGTATAAGTTTTAATGCGAGCTCTTGCGGCTGTCCACCCGCCCCACCCATACCCCTATCCATTACAGACATAAGTCATTAAAATTGCCCCTACTCACTCACACTAGTGACACTGCAATTAGGACCCACCTCTTCCATCGCCATCACAGACGATAGAGAAAAGCAACCCATACCCAGTACAGATATTAGCAATCAGTGTATATGCCCATTGCAGATGTTAGTAACTAGTGTATGGTCGCATTACAGACTTCTCAAATAAGACAGATCCTTACAAAATATTTTACATGTTACCTATTTTTGCATCCGTTTAGTGAGGCTAATGGATATATGTGAGTTACACAATTTAGTCCCAACGGGGCTGCGCTAGCAAGTTTTTTTATAAATGTGAATGTTATATCCACTATTTTCATCCTTTCAACTAATGCGAATCAGTCATATATTACTCTGATTCGAATAATAAATACGATATTAAACGTCTTTTGTTGATTCCATGTATTGATCCAAAGTACGAGTAAAATGTCATCGAAGATTTATAAATAATATAATAGAAAGAATGAACTTTGTATTCAGAAAAATTCCGTTTTAGAAATAGATGCCATTTGTGAAGAAAAGAATTTCTGCATTGATATGTAATAGAGATTAACATTTTTCTTTGTGAAAACTTTTCGATTTTACAGAAGGTAATATTAAACCACGAGCTTCTGTCTTATTCGTAGCAATCTCAATCGAGTATCTCGAATAATGATATTTAGAGAATGATGCCTACACTGCATATTTTAATATTATATATTTGAACAATTCAACGAAGGTTATCATTTTTGTAGCAAAGTTGAACTTATTAGTGCTTCCAGTGTTAGTTTATAGAATTCTGTGAAAGACCAACTAGTTTTTTTTGAATAAGATATGAGACAGTATTTTTCAATTTACGACACGATTTGATATATTCGATGCACTTTGCTCTAGTAATTTTTGAAAAACGAAAGTTAGTACTACGAAACGAATAGTGTCCA